ATGATTAAACAGTAACAAAGTTCCGCAATAAAAATGCTTAGTCGGCCAAAAAGCCTCATACCGCAATTTGACACTGTTCGCTTTTGTTTGATCTTAACGAACTAGAGACAAATAACGTTGGTAAATGTATTCGAGTATTGTATTGATAAATGTATTACTACAGATAGACCTAATGATGATATATCTGAGTAAAACGCCTCAGAAATTTGAGAATACTAGTGTATTCGTTTCAGATTTCTGCAGCACCGTTTATCAGAAATCTTCACAGTTTTGAAAGACCTAATCAAAAACTTTCATTACTCAGTTGACGCTCCAAAGAGGTGAGGAATGTCGCGGAATAATCAGTGAAAAAATAGCAAAAAAACTGCTTGGTTAATCGTATCTGTAGCTCTCTTGAACAACTAACTTCTCCTTAAGTCAGTTTTCTCTACGAACTGCCGAGTTTCAAGTGATCCTCTCGAGAAATTAAGGAATTTTAAGATAGGGGAAAAACTATCTATTCAAGCAGCTTTTTTCGCCTATTTTAGTTAAAATTGTTCGGTCAGTAGTATCATTTTTAATGGCTGATGATTCTGACAAGAAGAAAAAGCTTTAACAGAACTAATACTTGACTGGTATCGGTGCTTATGTCGCCTTTAATTGCATTTTCTTGACTCCTGTTTAATAATCATTTCAACCGCGCTTTCATTCTTTTCCTAACTTTTTTTTTTATTTTATAGCCTTTAGCCACTTTAAAAATTTTGTTAACCACTTTCGTGTCATTTTACCGCTCTTTAGAAACTCATTTTGTTACTCAGATAGAATCAAAGCTGCTTGAGATTTCAAAAGAAAACAATTAATCATTAACAAAAAAAAAAAAAAACAGTTTTTTCAAGTAAATTTTTCTAATGATTTTTATAACATTAATTACACTTTCTTGTGGCTTCCTTTTAATCTAAAATCATTAAACTTTTATTTTTGACCAACTTGGCGACAGTGAATTTAACTATAAGTAACAAAACAGCGTTAAAGCAATAAAGACTGCAAACCTAGTCACCATACGTTTTATTTTCGTTGTTATTTTCCAGCAACAGACGCAAACTGCAGAAACTTGTCGACACAGTTAATATGAATCAACGAAAAATAATCATGTTTTCGATGTTTTTTTTTCGATTTTTAAACTTGTCCTTCATTTCGTTTTAATTTTCTCAATTATTCTACTCGTATCTTTAGAATCAAATGCAGTTTGCCGTTAAATAAGATGAATTTGTTGCTTTGATTCAAGTAAACGAGTAGCTACTAACAGTAGATAAAACAGGTGTGATAAAAGGATACGCGAAGGCTGACAACCGGCAATTAACGTAAAAAGGGAATTTTTCATCGGGTTGAATAAACTATTTTGCATTTATCGATATGGCACTAGCAGTTCACTGTAGCGATAATTAATGAAATAACTGAAGAAGCAAAAAATCACTTCAACTTTTTTGATATTAGAAACATTTTTTGAGGTTCGTAAACGACTGACTGCTTTTCCCGGTTAACTATAATAAGGAAAAAAAAGAAAACAAATAAATAAACTACAAACTGCAGTTGTAATTGTCTATTATTTTAAGCCATCTTTAAAAGCAAAATAATACTTATTTTTTAAGAAACAAAAGAGAAAAAGAAGTAAGAAACTGCATTAAATAAAGGAATTTTTTTACTTTTTTTCTTATTATTTCGATAACACCGAATTATTAATGGCTTTGGTAATGTTGCAAAATAATTGGTTTATTATGTTATCGAATTACCTGTCTTCTAATTTTTTGGCTTTTTTTTTTTCATTTTTTGTTCTCTACCCCTCTTTTTTCACTCGTCTTTCTGTCTTCGCACGCTTTCTGCTGTTTTAGCCGTCGTTTTTTGCTTAGAATTCAACTGGTTAGGGTAATAACGACTTGGTGAACAATGCTACTGCAGCGGTGGTTGGAAATGAATCGTGAATGAATTGTATCAGCGACAAACACAGCTGTAGATTTGTTTAAACAAAGTTATCTGTAGCAAAATCAACTCTTGCCTGTTAAACACACTGTATCTTCTCAGCGATGACACTTTTTTCAGTATACCGCAACAAAATTGCAGCACTACATTATAAAAAAACCGTTTTTTAAATTTTATTATTTTTTTGCTACTTATTATCGAAATATTTGAAAAATGTTACCAGAAAAAACTTCTACCTTTTTTCTATAAATACCCAGTTTCTCTGAAGAGTTCGAGACAGAAACTATTTGATTGTTTTCTTTTCAAAGCACGAAAATTGAAGAAATAATAAGTGTTAATAAATAATACTTGAGTAAATAAAAAGACAAAAGACAAAAGTGAAGAAAAGATAATAATTATTGATAATTTATACCACTTTTGATTTGTCTTCTTTGTGGGAATACTGACAACTTTTCATCTACTTTTATTTACT